TATTTTTTAATTTCTGTGATTGCTTATGATTGCTTTCTGAAACAAATAATTAACAGATGCATGCTGGATAACCAGAAGACTGATATTAATACCCCTACCTCTTTTTCTGGTCAGCAGCTTTCACTCCCTATGTTTCAAATATGCCTTCAATCAGTAATTATAACTTCATTTTATCTTTAAGTCTTTAGGGAGTAAAGACAAGTAAAAACTGTCTTCTTAGTTGTTTGTGTAACTGCTAAAACTTGTTTTATAATGGATATGGCTTTTAGTAATCTACTAAGCAGGATGATATACAAACTTGTATATATTTAACTTCAGCAGATACAATTTAGCAGTTTCACTCCTATCTTGTTATGCCAGGAAGTGATGAATGACTCAGTTTTTACGAGATAACTTATGCATTTGACTAGAAATTGCAGTTCATTAAAATACAGGCAAACAGAATTTGAAAATTCTGTAATTAAGTACATGTGGTGGCTGTATAACAAAAATAAATGGAAGGTGTCTTATAACAGTTGTTATCCTTGTTTAACTACTTGGCCTCTAAAAGTAACTAGTGATGGGTTATAGGTTAGATGAAGTTGTTTAGATGTCTGAAAGTTTGCCTAGATATCTAGTGATATTTTGAAAATACCAACTTCATACTCTCTCCGATGCCCATTTTCTGTCAGATGTATGCTATTTCTGAATTGCTGTTTGTAAAGATTTAAAGAACCAATGTAATGCTATATATGACAGTGTGATGTTTTGTAAAACTTGAGCTGACCTGAAAAGTGTTCTTCCCCAGTTCTATCTTAACTGTGAAAGATGAACCCTTTAAGTTGCTACTCTCTTTTACAGTTTGCTGTAATTTGATACATTTTTTTACTTTAAGTTCTTTAGTTACATGCTGTCTTATAAATAAAGCTGTGTGTAATGTAATTCATTTTTCCTTCTGTGCATTGCATAGCAATATTAAAGTAACAGCTCATACTGTTCTTTTGTGTTTTGTCTACAGACATGCAGATAGTTTTGTGAGCTTGCATTAGAACCTCCTATTCCATACGGCATATGTAAACCTGTTCATCTTTTCAGTCTGCATGTATTTGTACATATGTGCTTAGCGTATCTGCCTGTAATCACTAGACAGTATCCTCTCCAAAGTTAAAAGTACAATTCAGTTATTTGCTGTGTAACCAATGGTCATGTCAGCTTTTACCAATATATAACTTTTTTCTATGCTTATGTTGCATATGGTCTACAGTCATTATGTACTTTGTGTTGTAGAGCTGTTACATTCTTCTGATAGCTTTAGTTTATGTTTTCTGCAGGTGGAATTTACAGTTACAAAAGGTGGGGCTTCTGTTTTCTGGGAGTCTATCAGTTCACATTCAAGCTGCTAAACTTAACAGTTTTTCATGAGAAATCAAACTCTGAACAGAGTTTAGAAATGGTAGAAAAATTAAAAATGTGTAAATTTACTGTAATCTGGTTGTGTGCATGGTAGCTGTCTCTATTCATGTGTT